ACCCCCCCCCCCCCCCACACACACACACACACACACACACATACACAAAATGATGGCTTTGTGTATGGACATACTGTAAGCCTGTATCCGTACATAAAAATTACAGTCAACACATCAAACATCAACCAGGATACAATCAAAATTATAGTGGATCCAATTTACAGACATATCCGGCTGAGAGTTCAGTTTAAGTTATCTGAATACCTGATAAGGTTCAAAGGCAATGGTATCAGCCCTCTTTTCTTTAAATAAAGCCAATGAACTAAATGTGACTTCAGTGAAAGTGCCGTAACATCCTCAGATACTTTTTATGTCTTTTTTTTTTTTTTTGTCAGTCTGTCCCCTGATATTTTAAATATTTTCACACAGATTTAATAAGAAGGCATTGTATATGTATATAAACTTCATTATCTGATGCTGGCCCTTGTTGTGACATAAGAATTGTTGGTGACAAAATTATGCACAAACACAAGAAGTTTGAAGGGTGGGAGAAGAAGGGGGTTAAGGGATAATCATTTTGTGACTTTCATCTTCCAGTGAGCACAACCCTAACTTATTCACCTTGCATCTGTGCCTGCTTCTGTTGCAAGATCCCCTGAAGGAAGGTTTTGGTCTCACTGGTGGTGCTGGGAGAGTCCATGCTGAGTAGCGCCTCCGCCGCCATCTCTCGTCCTGAGGGCGTGTGTTCTTTCTCGCATGTTTCCACTAGAAGAACAACCCAATAGCATATCTTTTAATTCTTTGTAAAATATTTATTCATTAGACTATTAATGTTGATCCTTTGTAGCAAGTACAAAGTGCTTCTAAAACAAATTGTTCTTGAGGGCTAGTTAACTTTTCTTTTGCATTAATAAATCTGAAAACTAATTAGATATTTTGATTTTTTTATTTTAATCTTAAATAAAAGGGGTACATATAAGTCGGACCCAAGTGGCATAGAGGTCTCATCCTATGCTGTCAAATAATAAAGTACTCTCCACCCAAACTTGTGGCAACTAGTCAAATAGGAAGCTGACTCAGACGAGGTGAGTATAGCCTGTTTGTGGGTTATACGACCACTTTCCGTAGTTTATAAAACCACAGCAGGTCCTACTTAATACTCTTCAGTGACTAATAACGGAATTTGTTTTTTGTTGTTGTTTTTAAGATTAAATGCTTTCTCAAGATGCGATTGATCTGAAGTTTATTCACTTGAGATCATACATTGAAGGTATATGAAAACATTACCTAAGGTTACAAACAAATTTTAACAAATTAAATGATTTACCTCTAAGATCATTTTGTCAAGATTTACTATTTATTTATCAAAGACACTCCCCCCCCTCTTTAAAAAAAAAAACATGTTTGATGCCATGATCCTAAAAGCTGAACCAATAAGGCCTTTAAATGTTGCCAAGTTTGGTAACCATAATTCCAAGTGACAATATCAAAGCAACCTAACACTGAAGGTCCTTTGCTCACTGTTCACCATAGACGTCATAAGTAACCTGCATACCTTAACAACAGGTGAATTACTACCAAACACAATAGAAATACTGTTTATTCACCTTCAAACAAGAGAGGTCAAATCTCTTGCGTAGGCTCTCCTAATCTTTACTACAACATTTGGAGGATAAGACGTTATTTTCTAAACTCCTTTAATGCTATTTGTATTGTTACGCCTTTCTTAATACCTTTAATTCGTGTCAGGTTGCTGAGTAAAGGAGTGTTGGTGCATCATGGAATTCAGACATGTGATTTCGCATTATTCTTTTTTCTTTTATTTTGCTAAACAAACAGTTACAATACTTCCTACTTTTTGGTCTGAACATATTTGGAGGGTTGCCAGGGGCGACACGCTACACCCCTTTTGTATCAATGTCAAAGAAAAACGGCTTCAATGAATCATGAATAAAAATTCAATTTACAAATACGGAAATGTAATCTGGAACCACTTTACACTAAGTCTTGAATGCAGGAAGCAGCAAATATAACGAGACAGAAAAAATACCAATAACACCACAAAGTGCTAATTTTTACTTTCCTTAATAAAAAAGTAGTCCGAGTGTACCAACTACTACTAAATCTATGTCTTTCTTTATAATATGCCCCTTGGTAGAATAATTGCTTTCAGCTTGATATGCAGTGACCAGAAAAAGAAATATCAATAATCAAAATTGGGAAGAATGCCCAAGTAATAATGAGATCCAGTTTTTCAGAGAAGAAACGCTTTGATTCTTTTGATTTTCTCAATTCTGTGACATTTTGCAGCATTTAGCCAACATTTTTATGTTCTGCAGAGTATCAAGATCGCTGACTTTGACTGTCCAGACTCGGTCCAGACGTCCCCTTCTCAAATTTCTCTTTGTCCTCCTCTGTCAAGAAGGGGTCAACACAGCCTCCCAGCAGATGTTCGCTAGCAAACCACCTGTCCCTGGCAATTCAATATAGAAATCTAGCAACAAACCCCATTTACTTTTAAAGTTCACCGCAACAGACACAACAGGGCCCATTTAACCCAAGAGCAGAGAAATTAACTTAGAAAATAGATTCTCCGTAGTAATGTATTCATTATCCAGAAAACTTGACAACAAAATCGAATTAAAAGTTAATTCCAGTAGACACAGCACATCAATATAGCCCAGCATTGTAAAAACACTAAGAAGATACTCTAAAATTAAGAGTACAGATTGTCTAGCAGTTAGAGGTGATGCAAAAAAAGGGAAGCAGAAAAGTTATTTTGAGTACCATGTAACCATTTCCATGATAACTTGTAATTCCATCTCCTCCCACACTGCCAGGATTACAGCAGTCTCCACCATTTGAGTNCCCCCCCCCCCTCCCCACACACACACACACCCACCCATACACAAAATGATGGCTTTGTGTATGGACACACTGTAAGCCTGTATCCGTACATAAAAATTACAGTCAACACATCAAACATCAACCAGGATACAATCAAGATTATATTGGATCCAATTTACAGACATATCCGGCTGAGAGTTCAGTTTAAGTTATCTGAATACCTGATAAGGTTCAAAGGCAATGGTATCAGCCCTTTTTTCTTTAAATAAAGCCAATGAACTAAATGTGACTTCAGTGAAAAAGCCGTAACATCCTCAGATACTTTTTATGTCTTTTTTTTATCAGTCTGTCCCCTGATATTTTAAATATTTTCAGACAGATATAATAAGAAGATACTGTACATGTATATAAACTTCATTATCTGATGCTGGCCCTTGTTGTGACATAAGAATTGTTGGTGACAAAATTATGCACAAACACAAGAAGTTTGAAGGGTGGGAGAAGAAGGGGGTTAAGGGATAATCATTTTGTGACTTTCATCTTTCAGTGAGCACAACCTTAACTTTTTTTACCTTGCATCTGTGCCTGCTTCTGTTGCAAGATCCCCTGAAGGAAGGTTTTGGTCTCACTGGTGGTGCTGGGGGAATCCATGCTGAGTAGCGCCTCCGCCGCCATCTCTCGTCCTGAGGGCGTGTGTTCTTTCTCACATGTTTCCACTAGAAGAACAACCCAATAACATATCTTTTAATTCTTTGTAAAATATTTATTTATTAGACTATTAATGTTGATCCTTTGTAGCAAGTGCAAAATGCTTCTAAAACAAATTGTTCTTGAGGGCTAGTTAACTTTTCTTTTGCATTAATAAATCTGAAAACTAATTAGATATTTTGATTTTTTTTTAATCTGAAATAAAAGGGGTACATATAAGTCAGACCCAAGTGGCATAGAGGTCTCATCCTATGCTGTCAAATAATAAAGTACTCTCCACCCAAACTTGTGGCAACTAGTCAAATAGGAAGCTGACTCAGACGAGGTGAGTATAGCCTGTTTGTGGGTTATACGACCACTTTCCGTAGTTTATAAAACCACAGCAGGTCCTACTTAATACTCTTCAGTGACTAATAACGGAATTTGTTTTTTGTTGTTGTTTTTAAGATTAAATGCTTTCTCAAGATGCGATTGATCTGAAGTTTATTCACTTGAGATCATACATTGAAAGTATATGAAAACATTACCTAAGGTTACAAACAAATTTTACCAAATTAAATGATTTACCTCTAAGATCATTTTGTCAAGATTTACTATTTATTTATCAAAGACATCCCCCTCCCCCTTAAAAAAAAAAAAAAACATGTTTGATGCCATGATCCTAAAAGCTGAACCAATAAGGCCTTTAAATGTTGCCAAGTTTGGTAACCATAATTCTAAGTGACAATATCAAAGCAACCTAACACTGAAGGTCCTTTGCTCACTGTTCACCATAGACGTCATAAGTAACCTGCATACCTTAACAACAGGTGAATTACTACCAAACACAATAGAAATACTGTTTATTCACCTTCAAACAAGAGAGGTCAAATCTCTTGCGTAGGCTCTCCTAATCTTTACTACAACATTTGGAGGATAAGACGTTATTTTCTAAACTCCTTTAATGCTATTTGTATTGTTACGCCTTTCTTAATACCTTTAATTCGTGTCAGGTTGCTGAGTAAAGGAGTGTTGGTGCATCATGGAATTCAGACATGTGATTTCGCATTATTCTTTTTTCTTTTATTTTGCTAAACAAACAGTTACAATACTTCCTACTTTTTGGTCTGAACATATTTGGAGGGTTGCCAGGGGCGACACGCTACACCCCTTTTGTATCAATGTCAAAGAAAAACGGCTTCAATGAATCATGAATAAAAATTCAATTTACAAATACGGAAATGTAATCTGGAACCACTTTACACTAGGTCTTGAATGCAGGAAGCAGCAAATATAACGAAACAGAAAAAATACCAATAACACCTCAAAGTGCTAATTTTTACTTTCCTTAATAAAAAAGTAGTCCGAGTGTACCAACTACTACTAAATCTATGTCTTTCTTATAATATGCCCCTTGGTAGAATAATTGCTTTCAGCTTGATATGCAGTGACCAGAAAAAGAAATATCAATAATCAAAATTGGGAAGAATGCCCAAGTAATAATGAGATCCAGTTTTTCAGAGAAGAAACGCTTTGATTTTTTTGATTTACTCAATTCTGTGACATTTTGCAGCATTTAGCCAACATTTTTATGTTCTGCGGAGTATCAAGATCGCTGACTTTGACTGTCCAGACTCGGTCCAGACGTCCCCTTCTCAAATTTCTCTTTGTCCTCCTCTGTCAAGAAGGGGTCAACACAGCCTCCCAGCAGATGTTCGCTAGCAAACCACCTGTCCCTGGCAATTCAATCGTTATATAGAAGTCTAGCAACAAACCCCATTTACTTTTAAAGTTCACCGCAACAGACACAACAGGGCCCATTTAACCCAAGAGCAGAGAAATTAACTTAGAAATTAGATTCTCCGTACTAATGTATTCATTATCCAGAAAACTTGACAACAAAATCGAATTAAAAGTTAATTCCAGTAGACACAGCACATCAATATAGCCCAGCATTGTAAAAACACTAAGAAGATACTCTAAAATTAAGAGTTTGGAAAGTACAGATTGTCTAGCAGTTAGAGGTGATGCAAAAAAAGGGAAGTAGAAAAGTTATTTTGAGTACCATGTAACCATTTCCATGATAACTTGTAATCCATCTCCTCCCACACTGCCAGGATTACAGCAGTCTCCACCATTTGAGAGAGAGAAATCCCGATTATATACGACATCAAGCATCATTTCCATCATTACCCCCCCCCCCCCCCAATAAGTAGAGTGAGTCACACTTCAAGGTTGGTCTAACATCCATCTGTTGTTTCCAAAATACCTGTTACTACTTACAACTGACAAATGTAACACATCAAAATCCAATATCATTAACTTTTGAGTGTAAATAAAATTACCGCAATATCATGGAAGAAACAGACAGAGCTTCAGGCATTAATTTCCTGCTAATAGTGAGTAGCCACCACAAAAACAACAACTTCTATTTTGCTTCAGTCTGATCTTAATTAACTGCACAGGTTTGGATAGCCTCCTAGTTTTAGCAACTTATTTGATTACCAGATAGAAATACATACGTAAGGCCAATGAACCTTGACACATGGAGGAAGAAATGTGGAAAACAGATTCAGGAAATGCTTTCTGTGGTCAAACATCTTTGCCAAGAACCTCAGGCACAGAGTAAGGTTCTTTCTCTTCCGCTTTGATATTTGGTATGTGTGCACATGTGCATGTGTGTGTGCGTGCATGCTGAAGGCATTACTAGTACTTTATGAAATACAAGAAGTTCTGAAAGTACTACAATATTTGGTACAAGTGTTGTTTTGTCAAAGTTTTAGAGTTCCAATCTTATGTGGTAGTTAAAAAAAATAGGGTGAGGTTTCATTTTCAGGAAATACTCAAACGACTGGTGGGTCAATATCATAACATCAGCACAGTTCCTGACATTTTCCTCTCCGGTGCACTCAAAAGAATTCATCCATATCTGACAATTGAGGAGTTGCAAAATTAATTAGCAAACAGTATCTACACTTCTGATAGCTGTTAACTTCACACATGAGTAAAGATTGTTCCACGTGAGTTGAGACTATGTATCACAGTAATCAATACAGTTCAATTGCTCTCCCCATTTCTTCTATGTGTTCTACATTGCCAATGCGATAACTGCAATTAACTGAGTCACAAACAAACATACAAAAACACAAGACGATAGTAACAACCCATTAAATGCTGTTGACAACATCAGGAATTTGTTACACTATCTTTTTCATTTGGTTCAAGAGCAATCAATTTTTTAAGCTTATGCATTCACATCAATAGGAAACTGCAACAAGGCTGAGCGATAGGTTTCATTTATCCTGTCTCGGAAATTACGTTAGTCAATAAGTCAGTGAGTGTGACTGGGAGTAAAAATTGGCAGTTTATAAATAGAGCAGCTCATCTGGGTCGTGTTCTACGTCAATGAGTTTAATGTTAACGCACGCTGCACTATGCTTTTCTCACTGACGGTAGGATCTTGGAATTCTAAAAGATCTCTTGGGGGAATTCTGAGAAAAACTAAAACGATATTTTTTTTCTAAGAAAGCAGTAATGATGCAGCATGCAACATGATTAATGGAAAACAAAATCAAATTCCCATTTGTATTATTTCCATATACAGCTCCTTCAACAGCTAACAGTAATATCTATAAATACAAGCAGGCACTTTGGAACAAAGCACAAAAATACAGACAAGTCAATACAGAAAGATGTTTGCAGAAGAAAAAAAAAGAAGAAGAGAAGACCACCTTTGTCATTTAAATCAAGAAAAGGCAGGTGCTCTTTTTTATACCTTCCAGCCAGATTTCTTTTCAATCGACCTCAGACTTGATAATACCCTAGATTAAAAACCATTACTTCCTGAGGACCGACACTGCTATTAATTTAGTAAAAGGCATGAATGCACTCTTGTCCACGCCACAATTACATCATTATTTAGCTAGCTGTGTGTAATCAGGGAGCTCATCTCCTTATCCAGGGTCTTCTGATAAGACACCTTGCAGTCAAACATATCCACCCCCTTTGTGCACATGTCAGGAGGGATCAACCCCCAATATTAAAAATACACCCCAAGGGCCCTATGTGTTAACAACCTCTGCCCCATCCTGTTTTACATCACACCACCGTCACATGTATGCATCTGGAATCCCTTCAGCTATGTCTTTGGCCCTGGAAGCTGGATATTAGGCATTGACCACATTTCCTGATTGCGGACAGTCAGGAATAGCTGAAGGGACAGACAGAGGGAGTGAGGTTACTCACAATAATTTACCTGTTCAAACAATATCTACCTCACAACTTGCCTCAGAGCTGGAATGCTCCAGGAACCAAACCAATGATACCCCAATAGGCATGAATAATAACATAAGCTACAAAAGTTCAGATTTGTCATTTGAAAGAAATGAGATAAATTCATTAACAATCCTGATTTAAAGTTAAAAGTTACATCAAACCATAGCCAGTTTCAAGTAACAAACAACAACAGCCAGGATTAAATCCAAACCAAAAACTCACAGTATCTTTTCAGCATGTTCTTCTTATAGGACTTGGTCGGCGTGGTAGGGGTGGTCGGTGTGAGAGGTAAGTAGTCCGTGACACCGCTGAGGGGTGTCGGAGCAGGACAATTCGTTGGCAGTTCCAGCTTTGGTTTCTTAATTGATAAATCTAATACAGGTGACATGTCCACCGATGTCACCGTCTCTTCTCGCCACATGATGGTAAGTCCTTGTGTCACCCCTCTCTAGTCTTATCCTTAACTGTATATGATAGATTCTTAAATAACTGACAGACTGATAATAATCCTCCTTGTCACTGCTATTATACACTCAATTCTAACCACAACACAGTTTTCCTGAATGTTTCAATAATCCTTAAGTCTCTGTTAATACACTCAAATTTGATTTCTTTCCTCCTCTGGTTAATCAATATATTTCTCCAGATTATATTCTAAGCTTTCACAGTCGATGTCTCAATTCTCAGTCACTCTCAGTACAAATCCACTTAGAGACTGAGCCCACTGTGCTGGGTTCCTTATCACGCTTGTTTCTACTCCACTTCCTATAGTGAGTCACATGACCAGGGTATACATAGCTCATGCCTGAGAGCTTTCAGTGTAATCAACGACCTTAACAACACCTTAAAGGGAGGAGGGCAAAGGCAGTGCGCAATTCACCACCTGCCCACAATAGAATGTTTACAGGTAAAAAAACGGGATGCCACACCTAGAGGATTATCCCAATTGAGTTTACGACAAAACTTTACAACTCTTCAAAAGTTATCTTTAAAAGAGGTGCCCTGTGCAGTAAAAAGAAAAAAAAATCTGAATATGCAGACTCCCCCCTTAAATTACAGTAGCACAGTCCAGAGGGTTCAGCCAATCAAAAGGCTCCTAGCATAATCATCAGTTGAGCTCAACAAGCAGCAAACTGTAGTGGGGCTTTAAATGACAACCATCTCATAACAACTGAGATACAACACTCAACAGGTAAATAGGAAGTGGAAATTGCACACCCCGTAATCATTATCCCCACCCGAGATGATGTCGATTAGAAACTTATAAATAGCGTGAACATACACAGCGGCTGGCTCCAACGTCACAGATCATTACTCTCAACAAGATGCATTACGAGAGAAAGGAGAAAAAGGCTACGCATCAAAATAACCAGATCAATATCTTACTACGCACACGGCACCTGCAGTGCTTAGAAAATGCAAGATGATAAAAATACTTAAAGAGGAGTATGTAATTGCACTTGACATTTACCATTTGTTTTTACTTCAAATTCCGAAACTTAATGCAAGGTATTTTTCCTTACTTCCTGAAACTCTATTTTTGTGACTTAATTGACAATAATAGCATTTGTCTTGTTATATTTTTTTTCCTTTTCCAACATGAGTCACTGACATTTTTATAGCCCCTGCAATGATACCATGCTACACTGCATTCTGCAATAAATGCTCTTAGCACTGAAATCAAAATAACACTAATGATAACAATTTGAAGGTTTTGATTCTGGGACAGCGATTTCTCAATAAAAGAACTGTAAATCATACTTGCATGTGACATTATAGCATTACCATCAATAACACCTGTTGTCAAATTTTCAATATGGCGGAATAATTTATTACATTTTAACCCTTCATATTGAATTTGATAATTAGAAATGGGTTCATATGAAATGAGCAGACATCATGTGGTAAGAGGCTTTTCTAAGACAGGGAATGAAACTGGTCAGTTTGGATAGCACATAAATATATACTTAGATATATATGACCATGTTGAGAAAATAAAGGCAATTTTACACTTATGTTTTATGACTTAAAAGACACATTTTTTCCAAATTAAAATGAACTTCTAAAGCCATTGCAAACATCTTCACAAGTATAACCAACAAATTTGAGGTTTAGTCTATGTATTTTTAACAACATTCTTCAACATTTTCTAACAACTGAAAGCTAGTGGCCATTCTACTTCTATATTTGCCTATTTTAAAGCTGAAGTCACCATTTTAAGTCCAGCATCACACCTGTCGTCCGAGTTACCAATCCAATGACACAGTTTGAGCTCCGGCTTAGAGTTAATCAGTGACTGGACGGTCAATAATTTTATCTTGGTTCCTCCTTCACACTAGGGTTATGTCCTCTACAGTCAGGTAAACAAGTAGCTCTACATTGACGTTGGCTTTAATAAATAACACTACATTATCACAGGCAGGTCAAATCAACTCTTATTTAACAGGGATTTAACTTCTCAATTTACATTTTACATAACATTCCTCTGACCAGCCTGCTTTTACATAAAGTACATTATTATTATTTTTTTTTTTTCAATCGTCAATGAACCCTTTCTCACAACAATTATGGAGATAAATGTGTAGGCTAAATGGTGTTTTGGCAAGCAATGATAATAATAATGAAATGCAATAATAACAAAAATAATAAAAAGTCACAGTGGAACAGTAATAGCAAATCTCATAGTAACACCAAGGGCAAGAGAACTACTCAGAGTACCTAAAAATTATTTGGCCTAAAGATAGAGGAGTTTTCAAAAGACCAAAGAAAATGGCAAGGAAATGATAAAAAAGTTTATAACATAATGTTGTGACAACATCTTCACAGTCCAAGGAGTCCATGTTTCTGGTGAACTTCACTGCTACAGAGAGACACAACTGTAACAATGACATGGAAAACTCTGCTGCGACACTGCTGCTGACACCTATTGGCAAAACTAAGAACTACAAACAAGGAAGTAAATCACTAAAAATACAGCTGCTTATAAATTAAATACCTCTTCACTTATGGCACAAATAAAAAACTCACAATTTATAAAAACTGCACCTTTTTTTATTAAATATTTATCATTATCATTCTATTTTATTACTTTTTTGTTTTGTCTTTCTACTTTGCTTTTGCTTTAAATTGACCGGAAACAAGATTTTCAAGTATATACAGTAGATCTATACAGTTAAATTTTTTTATGTGTTTACAAATGGTATTCATCTAGCTAACATGTTTTCAATCCACTTCTCCTCCATTGCTTCCTATGCAACTGAAATTTCAAGAGCTTGCATTATTTTATAAACATAGATAAAAGGTTCACATCAGGGATTTTGGGCACTTGTTTTGCAGCCAAGTGCTTTCCCAGAATAATGTGCCAAAAATAATAAACTTCGCTCTAATGAAGATTATCTCAAATTCACCCCCCCCCCCTAAATTTTTTTCTCGTCACTTTCACTTGACCCAATACGCCATTAACTAATTCAAATAATGGGCCTTGACCCCTTATTGCCAACCCTATTGCAATACATTTTGTTTTGCCAAACCAGAAGTATTTACCTCTCTTAACATGAAGTTATCATTGAGCACTTTCATTTCCACCGTAATTTGAATCATTTACTTTGGAGTCCTCCTCCATATTGATCATTAATATACAATTGAAGTTTACCACATGGAGCTCTTGACTTAAGCCATTTCCATTCATTTCATTTCTTTCTTAAGACCATCTAATTCTAAATGCAAATCAATACTATTTCCTGAAACTGAACTTTCCAGAAAAAATAAATCAATAAAGCCCTTTCAGATACTTAATATTCTTATTATTATACTGTCCCCTACCACATCATGAAAACCTATAACAGGACACAGGAACAAAGCAGTACAGGAAGTTTCTGCATATTGACTATATGCAGCAGGTATGAAATATGAATAACACATTGTGTTCTACCCACATGAAAAATCAACAACCAAATCCATACCACAGCTTTCTGATCAGAATTGTTTTACATTTTGTTTAAATGCCAATCACACACCCCTATTTTTCTTCTTCCTTGTGTCACACATATGAACACATTGAATTGAAATATCACCTTTTTCAAGATTACATATCAACTTTCCAACATAAATAAAAATAAAAATATATAAAAGAAAAAAGGAGGACTTTTTTGTGGTGTTTGCTCACGGATAGCATCATTTGATTTCCAGTATTTGTGGGTTACTAATACTTGAAAAAATTTGAGATCACATGCCTATAGCTCATGAAATTTGCAAATGTGATTTCAAACATTTATCATAAACCAAGTCATGAAGTTCTCATGTCAGGGCACACTGTATTTTCATTAATTTGTCAAACACGCCCCTATATATATGAACAGTAATCTCAGAAATAAGTTGCATCTAAAGAAAACAACACTGGAGTCTTCGAAGAAACCCTACACCTCTCCAAAATTAGTTTTCTTACACAGTCAAATAAGTTATGAAAGCTAACAGTGAAGTTTTATGTGGAAGGCAGATGATGATGACCTTGTTGGTTAAACTGCCAAGGTGAACTTGAAATTTATGCTGCACCGAGATCAAGAAGGAGAATCTACCTACGGCTCTAGGAATCTGACAAGGCCAGGAAACTCTACATAACCCATCTGTATGGTGTTGCATTTGAGATGATTTATATTTGAAACAGTCCTCTGAATTCAACTTACACATGCTTAGAAATAATAAATGTGATGTCTAGCTGCACATCAGACCTTTCCTCTTCATTTCCTGCTTCTAATATATTATGGAGAGGCAATCAATTCTATGGTCTTTGGTTTACTGTCAGTGATGCACCTGTACCCGTACAAGGAAGCTGTACTAAAATAATACACCTAGACCACATAAGCAACTTTGGCAAACTACCCAATTAGGGATAACATATCTATTTCCTCCTATAGAAAAAGAAAAACACAATGGTCAGTGAAATCATTCTTGCCAGCACTGACACATCAATGGCAGCTTGTAGGCAATATGTGATTTTTTTTCTGAATATATTTTTAAAATCAAATTTTGGGGAGTTTTTTTCTTTGATCAGTATTATCAGAGATATATATATATGTTGTGTCCAAAACGTTAAAGCTGAAATGTTGGATGTGAAAATTACAAAAAAAAAAAAAAAGTATAACAGGGATATTAATACAGTTAAGATAATGCAATGGATTTTGTTAGGCCTCATCAAAATTGTTTTTTAAAAGGAGGAAGTCATTCAAATTACAACTGCCTTGAAAAAAATTCAGATGAAAGAGCCCAAAAGAGTATAAACTTACAACCACATGACTATTGTTGCTATTTCCTACAGTTATTGAAATAAGGAAAGTAAAATGTCTATAGAAATGCTTCAACTGATAAAAACTGAAACAATGGGACTGAAGCTATATCATATTTCTGCTGAAAATCAAAGGTATCTTATATGGGATTTTTGCTCCAAATCTGATTTTCCATGAAAAAAAAGCCATTTTCTCCTACTCATGAATCACTCCTCAACCCCTTCCTGCACTAACACCAATTCTGTGTTGTTCCAAAGTGCATTTTACATGACACACTACATTAAAAAATGCTTTCCCCTATCGTTACGTAATGTAATTATAAACCAAGTAGCCATGTAGCACCCAGAAAAACTGACAGCAATACAGCAGCTTGCTACTCCATCAGGGCCTTTAAGCATTCTTTATTAAGTAGAATTACACGTGAGATCATATATATAATTCCAATACATTTCAATAAATACAAAACTGACCCATTTGATTACAATATCAAAAACCCAAGTGAAAAATGGACAGTGGTGTTTTTTCTGTAACACAAGGCAGCAATTCCAATAATCTGCCAAAATAAATTACACTTTGTTTTTAAACAATCTGTCTGAACTGGCTTAAGGGTAGCTGGAATCACATGTATGCAAATGAAAAATATCTGACAGAAAACCCTAGCTCTGCAATTAACCTGCGATCCTTCAAACTGTAAAGTATTGATTTGTTCACTGAATATTCCCATTTACCAACTTGTAGTACTATGCCCTGTTGTGCTAAATCTTAAGCTTACAGTTGATCTGTGACTGAATCTGAAATTTCATGAATATCATCATATTTTTCACCAAAACTTGTTAATGCAGTCAGTGATGCTAAATTATTCATTCGTCTAATTTTATATTCAGTCACTACTTCTACCAATATTTATCAGATTTCTGAAATTGACCTCTTGTGCAGAAACCCATTTACTTCCTGCTTGGAAAAATTGAATTAGACTCAATTACACTTTATAACAAATGAAATCCTTATACTCTCAAACAAAAGAAAGTCAAAAATGACTTAAGCACAAACACCTACACTTCATTAAACATCTCTAATGATACTTTGTAAAATGATGGAACTTTGAGCATAACCATTTGGAAAATATATGACACTGTCCATTACTGTCACGATGTAAGAAGGATGCTTCTTGTTTACAAGGTGTTTTAACTGCAGTTATTGACTTCAACCATCCAACTTGATGCAGGCGTGAACATTTTGATTACCAATAAAAACTGTACATTATAATTACAATTTCTGTTCAGCAATAGCGATTTGCCTGGAGAGGAATAAATAAATCCTTACTGCTTCCAACAGTATGATCTCCACAATTGAGATCAGGCTCTTTTGCCTTTGCTGCTTTGTTAGTTTACAGCCTTATACAAAAGGTTACAGGTTGTTTCGGATAAAATTTTCAGACAAGGTTAGAAATGGGTTAACTTAAAATCAATTAGATTTTGGTTTGTATCCTTTAATAAAATAACAATGACAGTAAGAATTAAGCTTACTATCTCATTGGTTTTTTTTCAGTTATTATTTTAACTTGTTTCAGTGGTATTTCTGATTTGGGCACTTTAATCTAAACACCTTGATAAGCGAAAATAATATTTAGCATCAGGGCACTATGTTTGGCATAATACTTATGAAAAGGATGGTCAAATCATATTAAAATTTAATGATATTAAAGGAAAAGCAGGCTAGTGCTATAAATAACCAATTGTGTGCTGCAGCACACCAATAACACATGTATCAAATTTAAAAAAATATGACAAATACATTACTACGATAGTTCACAGACTGTTGGCTATATACATATGTAGGTAATTTCTTTAAAATATAAAAAAAAATAATTTTGATATGTTTGATCATGGTTTGGTTTACATGGAGAATTTTGTCTGTAAACCAATACTCTACAAAATCAGAATCAACGTTAC